ATTAGTTAGTTGGTTGACTGCAGTCTGGCGGCTTCATTTGGCTGAATTTGTCTGCCGCCAAATGCGGAGCAATTTGCTCTCTGGTACACAAGGGCTGATGGTGGTGCTGACCGAGAACACCACCACGGACACGTCCATCAGCATCGATCTGACCGACTATGGTGACACGGCCTGCTGCTGTTGCTGCTGTTCCTTCCACTTCCCCTGACATGGCTGTAATTTATCGACATCGACAGTGGACGACAACAACGACGACGACACGAGACACTCCATTAGCAGCAATACACTGTGTACATTTGTATGTAGCTGACGGTGTGTGATTCAATTGAGCTTCTCTCTTTGATGGCGGCGCCAAGTGTCTTACGTGGAAGAAGTCGCCTCGCAGTCACCACCACTACCACCATTTTCAACTCTTCTTCAGCTCTGAAGTGGCAGCTCTGACGCAATCCTCCGAAGTTCGAGGCCTCGATCTTCGTTGAAGGCGGCGGCGGCACTCTTTTTATGCTCTCTTTNCCCTGACATGGCTGTAATTTATCGACATCGACAGTGGACGACAACAACGACGACGACACGAGACACTCCATTAGCAGCAATACACTGTGTACATTTTTATGTAGCTGACGGTGTGTGATTCAATTGAGCTTCTCTCTTTGATGACGGTGCCAAGTGTCTTACGAGGAAGAAGTCGCCTCGCAGTCACCACCACTACCACCATTTTCAACTCTTCAGCTCTGAAGTGGCAGTTCTGACGCAATCCTCCGAAGTTCGAGGCCTCGATCTTCGTTGAAGGCGGCGGCGGCACTCTTTTTATGCTCTCTTTGAGACCTCTTTCTTTTCTGTCACTGCTAATGTGTGAACCGATGTGTCTGTTTGCGATTTGTAATGATCGAGCTCACATAACACGGCTGATTTTGAGCAGCAGCCGATTAAGTAGGACGATAAGCAATGGTGATGATCGGCAGTGTTTGTGATGGCGGTGGTGGTGGTGGACTCCTTGCTGCCCCTGCTTCTTCTGCCGCCGTCTCGTCGCCTGGTGCCTCTTTGGGGGACTCTCTGTGGCGCAATGCAGATTGACTGCTGCAGCTCCTTTAACTTTAGCCATTTCCTCTGTTGCCTTCACTTTTGCTCGATTTATTATACCGAATGGTACCACCACCACTACCAGTGTAATAGTAGTGCATTAAAACAATTGCACTTTTGAAGAAGTGTGGGGCCCTTTTGTGTGTGTGTGTGAGTGTGCGTGCTTTTCGGAGAAACCAAAATGAAAAAGTCCTAGTTTGCTTGATTGCTGGTGTTTGCTGTTGGCAGCCGCAGCAGCCCATTATGGCCGAATTGTTGCATCTGTTGGTCTCTTGGATGGTCTCACATTCACTTGCACTGCAGCTAACTGACTTCTTGATCAACACTTAATCGCACTTTTCAGTCAGTTTGAGCGGAGAGTTGCAACAACTCACTCTGTGTGCTCTCTTTCTCCTTGGCAGCAACAGCAGGGCACAATTAAAAGACCTTGATTCGTGGAAAGGCAGCTAAATTTATTTTATTGTCTCTAGTGGTGGTGGTGCTGGTGGTGTAGTGCTGTGTTTTGCGCGAGCTTAATGTCGAATGGTGAACGGGAGAATAAGAGAGATGAAATGAGGGAGAACGCAGAGGGCTTTCTCGGCGACTACTCTCTNTTTATTTTATTGTCTCTAGTGGTGGTGGTGCTGGTGGTGTAGTGCTGTGTTTTGCGCGAGCTTAATGTCGGATGGTGAACGGGAGAATAAGAGAGATGAAATGAGGGAGAACCGAGAGGGCTTTCTCGGCGACTACTCACTCTCTCCCTCATTTCATCTGAGCCGATCGGTATAGCTCAAATATCGAAGAAGAGGACCACCACCGATACTACTACGACCAGCAAATACAGCAGCAGCAGGCAAAGCAGCGCCGTGCCAGATACTCTCTGTCTGATACTGATGGCCACATTGATTCTCCTTCTTCCACATCAGACTGCAGTCGCCACATTTGGCGAACGCCTATAAATTAGCCGCTCGATGGGCTTACGTTCTCTCTTTCTCCCTCACATCCAGTGCTCTAATGGATCGCTAATTTGTGCAGTGGACTTCAATGCTGTGTAGTAGTGGTGGTCTGGCTGCTGCTGTTCTGATCAGCAGTGCATTTGCTCTAGCAGTCTGTTGATGGCGTCACCGAGTGAGTGGTATCACCTCGCTTCTCTCCTTTTCTCTCATGTGACGACATTCTCATTCTCGAGTAGTTTGTTGTAGTAGTAGTAGTAACCATTTGACCAGTTGCTGATGGTGCTGGTGGTGGTGGTGGTGGTGGCAATTAGCGGTGTCCCGATTGAGTGACTGACTGAGTGGCTGCAGAGGAATCGATTGAAGAGAGGGAAAGAGGTGCACTCTGTGGCACAGTGTGGACGAACACCGCCCGGAATGCAAACATTTGCCAGGTTGTGTGTGTGTGTGTGTGCTGTCGGCGTTTGGCTGAGGCCACTGAGGCTCTGATGAAACCTGCCGAGTGCTGCTGCTGCTGCTGCCGCTGATTCACTCTGTTCCGCGACAGAGCTCTCTTCATTTGATAGCCCTTCTCGCTCACACTTTATTTCTGCCATTGCCACTAGGCTATAATTTGCCAGAGTGACATATGTGTAAAAGAGTGGTATAAAAATTCAATTATTATTAAACTGGACAGACTGTGTGTGAGGGGTGAATCGACTGAGAATGAGCTGGGGCAATCTGACGACTCTCCTGGCGAGGACGACGACGACAACCCGGCGCCGTTCAATTTCATCAGGAGAGCGAGAGTATATTCATAAGCGTCGCTCTGTAGGCTTAATTAATGCGGCCCTTTGGCAGGCACTGAGCGAGCACTACAGGCAGCTAAACCCATTATTAGTGACCGGGGCTGCTGCTGCTGTTGTTGTTGTTGTTGTTGTTGCCACAACTCGGGCCCCTCTGCTGATCAGAGCTCGCCCTTTGTCTTTGCAAAGACAAGGACGGTGAGTGTTGCAGAGGCAGCAGCAGCAGCAGTGTTGACCACTCGATAGATTTGTGGCCATTCATTGGCACTCGTTGGCTGCTGACCACCACTGCGGGCCCCAAATGCACTTTCAGTGGCCCCGTCGGTCCTCGTCGTCGTCTTCATTTGATCTTAATTTGGCCTTTGCCTCGATTTATTTGTAGACGCAGAATGAGGGAATGAGAGATTCCTCTCTCTCTCACTTTCTTCCTACAAAGGGGTAATTGTGTCTGAGAGAAAGAGATTGTCGATTGCTGCTGCTTCTCCAATCTAATTGCCGCCGAAGCGCGATTACCACTGCTGAGAATCTGACTCGTGCGCGAGCACACTACCACTGCTGCCATTTCAGTGTGCCTCCTTCAAATGCCTGCACACACATGTGCCTTGAACACTCATTCACTCACTCACTTATTCACTCGCTCATTTGCCTCGATGGCCTTGGATTGGCAGATAAATAGGCGATATTATATTTGGCCAGTGCAAATAAGAGTCGGAACGACAACGACTCTGATGGCGGTGGTGGTGGTGGTGTGTGCTATGTGCAGTGCTGCCCGGCACAGAGGTTTTCTCGCTTTTGCTCTCTCGCCCTCTCTCTCTCCCACTCTCTTCATTGGACAAGCAGCGCCAGATGAGTGATAAACATGAGGACACAGATTAAACACAGACCCTGGCACATTTGTGACACCAACTAACTGACTGACTGGACTGTGCAGTGCTGTGGGCACTTCACTTTACATGCTCTCGGGGCTGCCAGGGACGGCTTGCTTGTCAACTGGTGCCGGGGTGAGAGACTGTCTGAGTGCGCTGTGTTCAACAGGAGAAAAGTCAGCTAGCCGGTGGTCGATTTGATTTGCCGCATTTCTCCATCGACGATGGTTGTGGAGTAGTGCTAAGCCACCGCTACTAAGCCATCGATTTGGTTGTCTGATCTTTTTGACCATTTCACTCTATTTGCTTCTTCTGCTCTTTTTCATTTTGCCGATTTGGCTGAAAGTGTGCTGTCAATCCACCCATCTGAATGCTTGTCCTCCTCCTCTTCTTCTTACTCTTTGCACCACTGATCAGTGGTGCATTAATGCCTGCTTGTGTGCTTCAATTCCAAGAAATGCCATCCGATCGAAAAAAAGATGAGAAAAAGTGGTTTCGAATGGCAGACCAAAGTGAGCAGAGTAATGTTGAACTGTTATAATTTATTATGCAAAAGGAGGGGATGGTAGAGCTCAAGTGAGAGAGACTGAGAAAGATAGAATGCACCCAAAGTGCAAATAAATAATCATTGGCCATTGTCTGTGTTTGTGTGTGCTCGATGTGATTGGACAGGAAATGAATATTCGCGGTGTGCTGTTTGTTGTCGAAGTGAGTGTGTGTATGTGTGTGTATGTGTGTGCTATCGGACTGTGCTTCAATCTTCTTAGCGCTAGTGTTGGTGGTCCTGTTCGTTGTGGTGATGTTGATGATGGCGATGGTGACCTTCTTTGAGAGGAAAGGAAAATGTGGCTAAATGGCTAGTCGATGCAGCAACAGCAGCAGCAGCGGTGCCCTGACTTATCATCAAATCATTTGACTTGAGAGTGTCTCGAGGTGGCGGTAGAGGTGGTGGCAGTGGTGCCTCGTCTCGGTTCACTACCTCTTTCTCTCTTTCTCCTTTTGGACGGCTTTTATTTCAATTAAAACGCTCCTTGAGCCCTTAATTTGCATTGTGCAGAGCTGTAGTGCTGTAGTGGTGTGGCAGTGACTCACAAAGTCCGACCAATTACGTTAATTGGCAGCAGCAGTGGTGGACGGGTGCTGCTGTTTCAGCTCTGCAGACCAGCAACTTCAATGCAAAACTGGCTGCTCTTAATCTAATTAGAGGCAATTTTGATTTACGCGTTTAGGCATTTAATTAATTGGACACAGACATATGCACTTGAATGCTATTCCATTGCACTCCTACACTTGACTGACACTTGACTGCAACTTTACTTTACTTCTCTCTTCCCTAGGCACTCCAATCAATCGCATTCCCATCATGGCAAAGCAGGTGCTGGATCTCTTTGAGCTCTACCAACTGGTGGTCGCCCGTGGCGGTCTAGTCGAGGTGATCAACAAGAAGATTTGGCGTGAGATCACCAAGGGCCTCAATCTGCCCTCCTCCATCACCAGCGCCGCCTTCACCTTGCGCACGCAGTAAGTGAAGTGAACTGTGTGTGCACAGTTTGAACAGTGCACAGTCAAGTTCTAATGTACACGATTACTCACATCTTTTCCTTCCTTCCTTCCTCCTTCCCTCAGATACATGAAGTACCTCTACGTGTACGAATGCGAAAAGGAAAAGCTCAGCTCACCGGAGGAGCTGCAGATGGCCATTGATGGCAACCGAAGGGAGGGACGTCGCTCCAGCTACGGACAGTACCCGGAAATTAGCAGCTCACCGCCGCCGGCGTCACTGCTCAGTGCTGCTGTTGCAGGAGGTGTTGGTGGTGGTGGTGCTGGTGGTGGCGGTGGTGGTGGCAATAGGGGCGTCAATAACCAGGCTGCCGCAGCGGCGGCTCTTTTTGCCGGCGCCAATGGTTTTCACGGAGCGGCGGCTGGCGTCAACGCCGCACTGAGCTTAGTCTCTGGACGATCACAGAACCACCTGAACAGTCACCACCTGAACAGCCACCACCACCACTCACTGCTGCACAGCCAGATGCTCAATGGACACCACAGCAACTCGCAGGGCCACTCTTCAGGTACTCATTCAGTTACTTCCCTTTTGACCCGTCTTTTGCTAACCATATTGTTTGTATCCAATTCAGGCGACGAAGACAACGGCAGTGTCTCCTCGAACCCCTCCTCTTCCTATCCCCCGCTGAATCTCCTCACCCAGACCTCCTCCAGTCAACACGAGGCTCTCAATCTGGAGGTGAATCCGCGCAGCTCAAATGACTCCATGAAGAGCTCCTCAGGTGGCGGTGAACACCCGCGTGGCACCCGGCGAACACTGAACCACGGGCACCCGCTGGACCAGCTGACGCCAGAAAAGCGGTTCTGTGAGGAGGTAAAAGTAAGACTTTGCTTACTTTCTTTTTTGTGCTAATATAAAACTGTTTTCTTCTTCCCTTCACAGCCGTCCTTTAACCCGCAAAACTTTCTCATGAATGCCAGCTTTCCGAGCACCCACATGAAGATTAGCAGTAAAGGTAGGAAAAATTGAGCTGCAAAAAGGCATTTGCTTTAAATTATGATTAACAAAAACGGTTTTTATTTACCAGACGGAAAAACACTGGAAGGACAGCTCACTGTAAGCATGGAGATCAACGGTATTCTCTACCATGGTATTCTCTTTGCGCAGACAAATCGCAACAAGATGGAGTAAAGACCTGCGCTTTCCTTTTTAACTGTTATCATCAGCATCTCTTCTCAATTATTTTCACCCTCGATTCTCGCTCACGTGTATCATTCTTTTACTTTTTTTCTTATTCTTCATTGTTGCTCCCTCCTTCCCCGCTCTGTTGCTCATCCTTTCACCGAGACACGAATTTTCTACACACACACTGAAACACATCACTTTCTCCATCATCATCATCACCAGCACCACTACCACCGCCAGAACTACCAAAGCCTGACCAATCATTTCCAAGTTGATAATGATATTCCCTGATGTATTACTGATGATTTTGAATGCAGCTGTCTCCTCTGCGTTCATTTCTTCCGTGGCACCGACTCTACGACACACATCACTACGACACACACACACACAAACAATGCACATTCTCATTAAAATACACACACACACACATACAAATACATTTTTAATATATTCTTTTATTACACACACATACACACTTTATTGTGCCTTTTACATCGCTTTTGGTCTTTTTGAAAAACGACATTGCAAAGAACTTTCTTTAAAGATTGAACTTCTCAATTTGCACTCTATACATCCAAATTCTTTTCTCCACTCTTTCGATCTTCATCTCTTTATCTACTTAAACCACCATTACTTCTGCTTCCAGTCAACGCTAAAGTGAAAAAGATAATGCTAAACGTGAATGCCCAACAAACCGTGTGGCAATAGCAATTCCCAGTCTGACAACAGTTGGAATTCATCCTACACTAATATATAAAAAAATGTAATATTACTGTTATCAGAGAATGAATAACAAGTTCCTAAATGATATATAACACTATTCACAAATTGATTTTATCGGTTAAATAAAAAAAGTTTATTTAATTCATCAATGAATCACTTTGCTTTGCTTTCGACAATTCACAGAGACAGAGGGGCGCTTCGGGTTGAGCTTGCACAATGCACGGGTGGCAAGTTGTAGAAAGTTGTAAGGCAGTTTGAAGATTACCGAGTGAAAGTGGGTGAATCACAAGAGCCCTATCAACTTGTGATGATGAATTTGACCTCATTCCTCGTCAACATCATCAAGTAGCTCCTCGTCGGCAAACAGACTTTCATCCACCTTCACATCATCCGGCTCATCGGCGTCAGGGAAGGAGAGATCAGAGTCGATCAAGTTTTTGTCCCTCATAAACATCTCTTTGCCGGTTAGCTTGGTTGGATCAACAGCCTTTGCTAGTTTGTTCTTCTCCGCCATTTCGGCGTCAAACTTTAACTTCCAACTAATGAAGGACTCCACAGTGACGCGAGTGCCTTCAAACTTTTTCCGCTCAGCCTCTTCCTGTTCCTTCTTCCGTCTCTCTTCGGCCTCTTTTCGCTCTAGCTTCTTGCGATCTTTAAGCAGATTAAGCCATTCTTGTGACTTGCCAATCATCGTGAAAACCATAACAATGCCTAGGTTTTCAGGCACCATGTCGTTTAGCTCATCGAGAATCTCTATCTCGTCAATGTCTTCGAGATTGACTGAAGAGATAATTTCAATCTCTGGCCCGACATCAGGGTACGTTTTGGGAAATTTAAACTGTAGAGTCAGTTGGTCTAGAAGCAATGCAAATTAAAAGCTTGAAAGAAACAGAACTCCAATCTTACATTTATCTAAATCAGTGTCATCCTCCTGCTCTTCACTGACGATAGAGATGGCGAATCTGGGCAAACTTGTTTCACTGAATCCGTTGAACACTGCAATATTTTGGAAAAGGTTTGATCAGTTTGGCGACAAAACAAACAAACAAATCACTGCAACTTACACTCATAATCATCCGCGTAGATTGCAGCCAGTGCTTCAAGCTCATCTTTTTGCTGTTCTTCGAAACTCATTTCATGTGTGATTAATTACTGATCTGCTCTTTTTCACCGAGAACAAGAATAAGATGAACTAATCAATGCTAGACATCAAAGTCACTTGTTTAGCACCGCATCTTCCCTCAACAAAATCCTCAAAAAAGCAGAAAAGCCTGCCACGACAAAATCGTCAAAATAGTCATTCCATTTGTACAAACACGTGCCCACGTGTTTTGGCTGCTGCTGCAGCTGAATTCTTGTTTTGATTTCTGCCGTGTTTCAGCAGATTCAGTTTCTAGTTTTTACATTCTTTAATAGTTCTTCACCTGAACAGATGATAATTACCACCACCAACTTCATCGCTGAATAATGGGCATCACTAAGCAGTATCTACGATGGGTGCCTGGCAATCAGTTCGGCATCATAGCCTCACCGGCCGCCGGCGTCTGCATCATCCATNCCACGTGTTTTGGCTGCTGCTGCAGCTGAATTCTTGTTTTGATTTCTGCCTGTGTTTCAGCAGATTCTGTTTCTAGTTTTTACATTCTTTACTAGTTCTTCACCTGAGCAGATGATAATTACCACCACTAACTTCATCGCTGAATAATGGGCATCACTAAGCAGTATCTACGATGGGTGCCTGGCAATCAGTTCGGAATCATCGCCTCACCGGCCGCCGGCGTCTGCATTATCCACCGATGGCCTGAGATGATCTCCACTGACCGAATTGCCGCCACCGCTGCCTGCGAGAATATCGCTTTCTGGGACCTGAAAACATGTGAACTGGTTGATAAGATTGGCACAAGTGAAGGAAGCGGCGATGGCGTTCGCAGTTTTCCCATCTCCACTCTTGCCTACAGCGCCGAGACCAACATCATCGCAAGTGGTCACGGGGATGGATCAGTCCGACTCTTTGACTGTCTCACCAAAGAGCTGAAAGTCGTTTTCTCTGGTCATAAAGGCTTCGTTACCAGCCTTGCCTTTGACGCGCCTGGGCTTCGAATTGCCTCTGCTGGGAAGGACACTGAAATCGTCATCTGGGATGTCACCTCCAGCGCCGGTCTCTTCCGCCTCAAAGGCCACAAAGGCCCAGTTAATCAGGTGCAGTTCATGACCGAGCACCCGTGGGTTCTGATCTCTGCCTCCAGTGACACCTTTATTAAGTTCTGGGATCTGAACACACAACACTGCTTCAAAACGCTCAGTGGACACCGCAGCGAGGTGTGGAGCTTTGTGCTGCTGAAGGATGACACTCGCCTCATCTCTGGCGGATCTGATTCAGAGCTTAAGGTGTGGAAGGTGATCTTTGCCGAAGAAGATGAAGAACGCTTTCAGGAGAAGGCCATTGAGTTAAAGAACAAGCGTCTTCAACAGTTGGAGCTGCTGGGAGAAGACGTTGATGCTGAGACGGCTGCTGATGACGCTGACTTTGAAAACGAGGCCGATAACTTTGTCCTCGTTGAGCGATACGGAACTATTCTGCGGAAAAGCAGCGAAAAGGTGTCTAACATTACGGTGGATCAAAGTGAGCGACTGCTAACTTGTCACGGCAAAGACCAGCACATTGAGTGCTTCAAATTGCGCACCGAGGAAGAGGTGAAGCAGAAGGTGAAGAATCGGCTGAAGAAAGAANTCCTCGTTGAGCGATACGGAACTATTCTGCGGAAAAGCAGCGAAAAGGTGTCTAACATTACGGTGGATCAAAGTGAGCGACTGCTAACTTGTCACGGCAAAGACCTGCACATTGAGTGCTTCAAATTGCGCACCGAGGAAGAGGTGAAGCAGAAGGTGAAGAATCGGCTGAAGAAGGAGCGCAAACGTCGTCATGGCGCCGATCAAACAGCCGAGGAGGAAGAGGAAGTGCTTGAAGAGACGGCGGTCACACTCTCGGATGAAATCGAAAAGCTAGAGTCCATTCGAGCGAGCTCCAAGGTGCGCTATGTGGACGTGAAGGCCGACAGCCACAGCAATGGCCTCTTCAAGATGGCCGTCCTGCTGGTGAACAATGCCCTGGAGATGCACCAAGCCACGCTGAGCACTCTGAAGAACAAGGTCGTCTTTAGCAGCGAACTGGCCTCCTCCATCGCCACGTACGGCCACCGAAGTGACGTGCGCACGGTGGCCATCAGCTCGGACAGCCACGCCATGGCCACTGCCAGCGCCGATTCGGTGAAGCTGTGGAACCGGTCCAGCTGCCGGTGCATTGCCACCATTCGCGACGGCCTCGAGTACCCGCTCTGTTCGGCCTTTGCGCCGGGCGACAAGCACCTGGTGGTGGGCACGAAGACGGGCAAACTGCAGGTGCTCAGTCTGACCAGTGCAACGGTTCAGTCGACGGTGGTCGCCTCGGAGTCAGGATCTGCCGTCTGGTCCATTGCCCTTCTGCCCAACCTGACGGGCATTGTCAGCGGCTCGGAGGACAAGCAACTTACCTTTTGGGCCTTTGACCTGGTCACTGCGGCCGTCCCAGCAGAAGAGGGGGCTGAAGAGGGAAGCAGCAGTGGTGCCGGTGGGGGTGGTGGTCGACAGCTGACGCTGAACCAGGAGAACAGTTTTCAGATGGAGGACGGCATCATCGCGGTGCGCTGCTCGCCCAACGGAAAATTTGTGGCGGCGGCCCTGCNAGAGGGGGCTGAAGAGGGAAGCAGCAGTGGTGCCGGTGGTGGTGGTGGTCGACAGCTGACGCTGAACCAGGAGAACAGTCTTCAGATGGAGGACGGCATCATCGCAGTGCGCTGCTCGCCCAACGGAAAATTTGTGGCGGCGGCCCTGCTGGACAGCACTGTGAAGATCCACTTTGCGGACAGTGGCAAGTTCTTCCTCTCCCTCTACGGCCACAAATTCCCCGTGCTGTGCATGGACATCAGCAGTGACAGCCATCTGATAGTGACCGGCTCCGCCGATAAGAACATCAAAATCTGGGGCATGGACTTTGGCGACTGCCACCGGTCGCTCTTTGCCCACGACGACAACATCACCTGTCTGGCCTTCATCCCCCGGACCCACCAGTTCTTCACCTGCAGCAAGGACCAGACGATTAAGATGTGGGACGCGGACGCCTTCGAGAAGATCACCACGCTGACGGAGGGCGCCCACCACGGGGAGATCTGGGCGATGGCCGTGGCGCCCAACGGCAAGTACCTCCTCTCGGCAAGCCACGACAAGACGATCCGTCTCTGGACAAAGACCAACGAGCCGCTCATTCTCGAGGAGGAGAAGGAGCTGGAACATGAGCGACAGTTTGAGAAGGACTTTGAGGATGAGCTCTCTGGGGCCCAGACGGTGGTGGCCGGCGAGTCGGCCGCCGAGAAGACGGAGACGGGGCTGGCGCAGAAGAAGACCTCGCGGACGATTCGCTCGGTGGAGCGGCTGATGGAGGCGCTGGACGTGTACGCGGAGGAGAGCGCCAAGCTGAAGCACCACGAGGAGGTGATGACCGCCTATGAGGCGATGAAGCGACAGGCCGCACTGAAGGGCACTGGCAGTGACCAGCTGCCCCCGGTGCCGGTTCGGGAGCCCGTCAACCCGCACCTGCTCGTCTACCAGACTGACTGTCCCCACCGGTTCATGCTGGAGGTGCTCACCCGACTGAAGTCGAACGAGGTGGAGGAGACGCTGCTGGAGCTCTCCTTCACCTACCTCACCCAGCTGCTGACCATCGCCCATGAGCTGCTGAAGCGGCGCTGGGAGGTGGAGCTGCTCTGTCGCATCGTCTGCTTCATTCTGCGCGTCAACTTCGGGCAGATCACCGCCACCCCTTCGCTGGTCGTCCTCGTCGACCGACTGCGCCTGCAGATGGCCCAGGCGATGGCCGAGCTGACCGACCTGGTGGGCGTCAACGGCGCCGGCCTCCAGTACTACCAGGGCGTTTTTGAGGGTCGCGAGGATGTGTCGCTCTTTGCAGAGATGCTCCAGGAGTCGGCTGCCAGACGGAAGAAGAAGAAGAAGAAGGTGGGCCGGCTGTCGGCACCGGTGCTCACGTGGACCTAACGTGGGCAGTCATGTTTTCATTTTCATTGTACAGTTTTTGGTTTTTCATTCGTTTGAAATAAAGTAATCAATCGGTTCATCCATCGATTCGTTCTTTCTTGTGAACTCCTTGGCATTTGCTTTCGCGGCAGACGTTTCTTTTCGTTTCATACTGGAGTATATGAATGGGATCTTTTACAGTTTTGTTTTGTTTCTCGCCAAAAAAACCGATTCTTCTTTTGTTGTGGACGTTTTCGGTTTCGGTTTTATTGACTACCGAAAGTTTTCTTTTCTTCACCAACTTTAAAGATGAATATTGACGATGTGCTCAAGTATACACCATCGCTTTCCGTTGCAGAGGAAGAGGAGTCTGATGAGCCAAGTGCTCCAAAGAGATCTAAGCTCGATGTCGGCGCTAGCACCTCAAGCCACCTTTCCTCTGCCGACATCGACAAGATCATTGAAGAAGCGGAAAAAGTTGATGTTAAAGAGGTGAATGAAGCGGATTTGAAGCGTCTGATTGGGCTCTTTGAAAGGCGACTGAATAAGAACCAGGAAATGCGCATCAAACATTCAGACAATCCGGCTAAATTTATGGATTCCGAACTGGAGTTGTTTGATACCATCATTCAGCTGCACTCTTTAACTACTTATCCATCACTGTATCATTTCTTCATTGAACAAAAAGCAGTTCCTAAGCTCCTCGGTTTGTTCTCCCACGAAAATACCGACCTCACAAAGCACGTCGCATCACTGATAATGAACTTGACAGACCTGGAGAACATTGAAGAAATGGACGATGTTTCCGAGCTAATGGAAGCTCTTTTTGAAAATCAAATTCTACAACAACTCGTTACCAATTTGGAGAGGTTAGATGAAAAGGTAGAGGAGGAATCGGAAGCAATTCACTACTCTCTAGGTGAGTTTGTCTAAAATATGTTTATGCATCATTTTAAAACTTCATATTTTTAAATTAAGGCATCATTGATAATCTGACCGAATACAAATCAGAACTGGGACCAGACGTCAAGCCACTCATTAGTTGGCTACTAAAGAAGCTGAAAATGAAACCTTTATATAACCAGAACAAGCA